ATTTATCGGTATAAAACGTTCAACTGAATTGAATGCTTCAGGATTTACACCTTTAATAACCTAAAACGTTAAATAAATGAAGGTAACTAACTTTTAACGCAGGAAAACGCTTCGCTGGCCAACAGACAACAACAGCCGGGTTAACGGAGAGATAAACGGAGATTAGCCATAACTCAGCCGGAGTTTTTATAGTTTATTCTTTTTAATTAAACACAGGAATCTTGTCAATCATCTGTTGGAGAAGGTGACGATTTCTTTATCGTGATTTACAGCTACGAACTCTCAAGGTGTGTTAGCATCGGCTAGCTAGTCAACAAACGGACAGACCGCGACTTCCGGTGGAGTTCGCGGGTCGTTTAGAGAACAGAAATAATTTGGTACATACACTGAAGTGGGTCGGTGACTCGGTTAGATTTATAATAGTTTTACAATTTCATTGTTTTATCTGGAAACTCTGGGAAAGCTATCTTTATCCAGCACAAAAATAAGGGCATCACGGGCACTCTTCGTTTGTTGTCCGTCCGGAAAATGGGTTTGGTACATTTGGTTCCGCGTAAGTCGAATATTTATAATTTGAGTCTTTTTATCTGCTGTTTAAATATCATCAGCAAAGTATAACTCCATCACGAACATTACAATAATGAATTATTGTAATAATACAGCTAAAATGATATTCCTGTGAATATATCATTTATTATTTGAATATGAATAAGTACGATCATTGTTATTTACTCTTTGTTTTTATGTTTTCAATCAGGACTTGCACTAGTAAGCTCATGTTTTTTCCAAATTTAATTTGTTTTAGCTCCTCCCTTTTCCCTACTTATTATATGCTGGTTCACAGTGAGCCCTCCTTTCGATTCTCTCTGCATGGAACCTCATTAAATCAATAACATCATTAGCTTTTTACTCCTTAAAAAACATTGCCAGAATCTGAGGAATAGTGAGTGAAACAGACTTAGAAAGAATTATCTATCCAGTTTTTGTGTTGCTAGGCAGGTTATTTTGTAGGATTGTATATTTTGCTTTTAGTCTGAGTTAGGAAAGTTATCTTTTCTTTTCTTTTAGGGCTGTTTTGTTTGTTATTTTTGTTCTGAGCTCTCCCTGGACCCAGAATAAAACTGTTCAAATGCCTTTTATTTAATTAATCCTGCTTAATTAACAGTGAGCAGCAGGTTAAAAACAGTCTCTACCAACAGGTGCAAACTGCCGGTTTTCTGAGGAGCCCCATTGAGAGAGGAGGCCGACGCCCTGAAGGGCAAACAGCAGTTTCCCCACATCCCAGTTTTGCCATGAGTCAGACGGGTCAAAGCCTCCAGTGTTGTCTGGACCCGGAGGGTTAGAGGAGTGGAAACAACTAACAGAAATAACTGTTTGTATGCAGCAAAAAACATGTGAGCTCATTGAAATAACTCAGGTGGAATCATTGGGTTTGTTCTGGGGCCTCGAATAGGACCAGGAATAAAAACTATTCATTCTGTTTAGCTGTTTTAGCCCATCAACTAAGAAACTTTTCCCAAAAAAATGTAATTAATTTTTAGACAGTTTCAATTGTTTTGGGGTCATTTAGTTTGTTTATTTCTTTTCAGATTGTTGAGAAATTTCACATAAAGACTGAATAACCTCAATTTTCTAGTTAAACTTTTCTGTTTAAACTTATTCAAACAAAAATTAAACCCCAGAGAAAATGGTTGTAAAGATTCTTCCATCCAATTAAAATAAATTCTGGCAATCACAAGCTTTGTTCTGTTTATTTAAACTTGAGTTTACTGATATTAAATGTTGAAAAGATGCAATTTCTTCATGATTAAAGTTAATATTTGACCGACTTTTCAATATTCCTGACTGATCTATGATTGATTTTTTTTCTTTCATGAACTTGAAAACATCAAATATTCAAAATATTATTGTGTTGTTGGGCATCAGCATAAACTTAATGGTTTAGGAATTCCAACTCTGATATAATTTAAGTTTTCAACTATGATAATGTGCTCCTTATTACACTTTTAAACAAAAAAACTCTGAGCAATGGAAAAGTATGATCTTAGCTAAATGCTAACAGCTTTTAGCGACCCATTACTGTATCTGTATTCCACATCGGAGGAACTAATACTGACATCTGTGGGGTTTTATGTTTGCTGTAAACTCATTTTTAGCTAGGGAAGCACTTAAAAGACAAGTAACAAAGCTAGCTGGTGCTGTTGGTACCTAGCTTAATGCTAACTCCCCAAGCTAGCCTGTGCTAGGAAAGGGAAAAATCTGCTTAGTTAACTATTAAATCAAGGTAACCTGAATTTTATTTAACTTATTTATCCATTTTCAAAAGAAAGAAGGTTTATGGCAGATTAATTGCTGGAGAGGGACTAAGTTTTAGCTCATTCTTCCCCACTAGAAGCTAATTCTGGGGACTCCATTGTCATTAATTAGCTTCTCAGAGTGAATGAAACAGAGCCAGGTCTGACGGGGTTTCTCAGTCTTTGGTTTATTATTGTGAAAACATGTCTGAAAGGGGGCTCAGCCCCACCAACAGGGACAAAACACAAGTGCACGAATGAAAGCAGTCAAAGTTGGAGGTTTAAAACGAGGCCGTTCCCTCTGAGGTTACATGGAAAGTGACGTCACACCTGCTCCAGCAGGGCGGCCGGAGAACACACAAAACACAACAAAACAACACAATCATGGCAAACTGCCGGTCTCAAGCATAAATATGAGGGATGGGGGGGGGTGACCAGGTCTCAGAAGAACAAACTGAATCTCCAGACGCTGGAAAAGTCACCAAGAACCCAGAAAAGACGCAATAAATAAATAAAAATATTGTTTTTACAAGCTGGTTCCTTTCTTTTTCTGCTAAAAGTGTCTTCAAATGATCTTTCAGATCAACAGATGGAGCCAGTTTAGCCTCATATAAGTCAGCTTTCAACACTCAGTCATGCTGGAGATGGACACAGATTGCCATTTAATGGACAGATACTGTTTATTTCTAACTATTTCTGCGATTAGGAAATAATAACTGTGTCACTTTGGACCACCATAAAGATGAAGATTTGATTAAATCAATGAAGGTTTGCTGGTTAAAGGTTTGAATCACCACAGTTATGCTCAGATCAGTTATTTTGTGTTGGTATTTTCCAACATACGAAGTGAAATTTGATCAAATAGGTGACTCGACAACCAGTCAGAAAAAAATCAAAATAAATAAGCTAAGTTAGTCTAAAGTTCCTGTAGTAAAGTCAGAGAGTCAGAGAGTTCTTCAGTCTCTGAGCTAAAGGGCCAATAAAAACCCTTTTTATTGATTATTTCTTTATCATTTCTTTATTTTTCCATCTCTCTTCTAGAAGCCATTTGTTTTCTTGCTATGTGTAATTATCTGCAGTATTTATTAAGGAGTTATCGTAGGTTTTTGGAACCAATTCTAGGAATAACAGAGTATTCTGATGGAGGATTTGAACCAACACACCAATATTTAACACAGAAGTCGCTCCTGGAACCAGTTAAACATTAAGTCTCACCAATCGTGGGGATTCGAGTGACTCATTTCCTCAAAACACCTTCAACTTAAATGGATTTCTCTGGTGGATTATCTCCAGATGCAGATCCATAAAAATCCCCCGACTGACTGAGCTCCACCGGCTCTGGGCCCTCTCCAGAAACCTCTGGGATCAGGGTCCCATCCAGGAACGTCACGCCTCTCTCTTCTCCCATCGTGGATCCAGAGATCCCCGATCCAGACCCCGAATGGAAACTGGAGCTGGCGAATCCAGAAAGCCGGCCTCCGCCTCCCTGGCCGGAGCTGTAGAACACAGACCCGGAGGCCTCCTCGTGCTCCCCGGCCGAAGAGACGCTGAGCTGGGAGAAGCCCGAGCCCACCAGCGTTAGACCCGGGAGGAACCCCGAGCCACTTCCAGATCCAGAGGCTGGACCACCGGGAACGCCTGATCCGGAAAAGTCTCCAGAACCACTGAGTAGTGGACTTCCAGAGAGCTCAGACTCAGTCTGAGGGATGGAGGCGTCGGTCAGTTCACCGTCGAGGAGCAAAATCGGAACATCTCCGCTTCCACTTAGAGGGGAAGATCCTGAAGGGAGGCCACCAAACCCAGAAAAGTCCCGAACTGGGATGAAACCGGAAGGCAGGCCAGAGAACTGTCCGCTTCCCCCAGAGCCCGAACCAGACACGGGCAGCTCTCCTGACCCTGAAGGCATCACGAGGATCGTGGTGCTTCCCTCTCCAGCTTCTTGAAGTCCTCCTGAGGCCGACGCCTCTCCTGAAGAAACACCGCCAACTCCAGAGAAGAATACAGGGATGAGGGATCCGTCTCCACTGAGACCCGATCCAGAATCACCAGATCCCCCACTGGAAGTCCCAACCCCCTGATCTCCAGAACCTGACGCGTCTCCAGATGTTTGGTCCTCTCCAGAAATCATCTGGTCTCCAAAACCAGATGTTATCTGATCTCCAGAACCAAATGTTTTATCTTCTCCAGATGTGATCCAATCTCCAGAACCAGATGTCTGATCATCTCCAGATGTGATCTGGTCTCCGAAACCAGATGTTATCTGATCTCCAGAACCAAATGTTTTATCCACTCCAGATGTGATCTGGTCTCCAAAACCAGATGTTATCTGATCTCCAGAACCAAATGTTTTATCCACTCCAGATGTGATCTGGTCTCCAAAACCAGATGTTATCTGATATCCAGAACCAAATGTTTTATCCACTCCAGATGTGATCTGGTCTCCAAAACCAGATGTTATCTTATCTCCAGAACCAGATGTTTGATCCTCTCCAGGTGTGATCTGGTCTCCATAACCAGATGTTTGATCATCTCCAGAGAACATCTTATGTCCAGCACAAGATGTTTGATCCTCTCCAGATGTGATCTGGTCTACAGAACCAGATGTCTGATCATCTCCAGATGTGATCTGGTCTACAGAACCAGATGTCTGATCATCTCCAGATGTGATATGATCTCCAGAACCAGATGTTTGATAATCTCCAGAGATCATCTTATCTCCAGAACCAGATGTTTTATCCTCTCCAGATGTGATCTGGTCTCCAGAACCAGATGTCTGATCATTTCCAGATGTGATATGATCTCCAGAACCAGATGTTTTATCCTTTCCAGGTGTGATCTGATCTCCAGAACCAGATGTTTTATCTCCAGGTGTGATCTGCTCTCTAGAACCAGATGTTTTATTCTCTCCAGGTGTGATCTGATCTCTAGAACCAGATGTTTTATCCTCTCCAGGTGTGATCTGA